GTTTTTGCTTTTTTTTTTTTTATGTTGTGCGCCATCTCATCAGCCTTTTGGAAAAAAAAAAAAAAAAAAAAGGTGTGCATTGTATTGTTGTACACCATTTCTAGCCTCGTTACTTCTTTGCTGCATTAACAGCTATTTGTTCCCACAGTGAGTTAAAGGTAACTCTAAAATAATAGTGTTAGAAATAGGATTCAAGTTTGCTTGTATTTGTTAGCCTCATTCTAGATGTGCCATATGTCACGTCAGAGCATATTAGATATTCTCAAATCCTGACCAATTAACTACAGAAATCATGTGTACACTTTGTGTGTGTACATGTGCAAAAGCATGTACGTAGCTGTATATATAATGTGTGTATATATACTTGTACATATAGATACACATGTATGTTTAGAATATCTAATCCTGACGTTGTTGTTTAAAAAACGTGGTGGTTTTTTTCATTCTGACTCAGATTTTTCTTAGTAAAGGTTGAATAATGGCTTTTGGTTTTAGCCAATTTATGTGCAAAACTACGAATGCTGCCATATGTTTGCTAGCACAGTTTACACAATGTCACAGAAAAAGGCCATCCCAAAGAGGTGACTTTCCAGTGTAAATTGGACTGGTTAAGCTTTATTCTACACTAGTTTTCACACCCTGATAAAAGTCTGTTGATAATTTGTGTTTACTTCAGGGTACCTCTTCACAGTGAAACCTAAGTACTGTTTGTTTCACATATCATATTCTATGTAATCATATAAGAGGATGCTTTACTCATTAAACCTACCCAGGCAGCATAAAAAACCCTTGTTGAATGACCAACAGCAGCATCTATACCTTTGAGAGCTCAATTCAGATGCCAAGACTTGGATGCCTAATGCCACTGGCAATGTCCTATGGTACCTGAGAAATAAGCCCCAGGGATGGCACAGACAACTCAAGCCCTGTGTGAAGACTCCTCAGTGGAGTGGCACCTGGCAAATGCAGCGCCCCGGGGCACCTCTGATAGCATCAGGTGCCTATACATAGTGGGTCAAGGTCTGCCTGTCTCCCTCGTGCATCATCCCAAGTCTTCCTTCCTATAGGCTGTAGGGAACATCCACATTGTAGGGAATCAAACACTCAAGGCTGGGATCATATTTTCCTACCAATGATTATTAACGTGAAGGAAGAAATTGGAACATTTTCATTTCAATTTAAAATCAGTGGTCTTCAGTGTAAAAGTTGCTTTCTTTATACTAGATAAATCCAGTTTTTAATCCTTAAGTAATGTCTCAAAAGGGAAGACTAAAGAATGTAGCAGTCAGCTAAATCATGGAGAATGCATAAAATAAGATGCTGACAATAGGAGCTGAAGGCATGGAGAGATGAGCAGCCTCCTGAGACAAAGAACTAATCAGGTCACCATCTGCTTAGCCTCTGAAAGTGGAAGATTAGGCTTACTCACGTAGTTATGGTTTTCCTTTTCAGTAACATTACTCCCAAGATGCTTGACTTTGACTCCTGTTAGTTATTCTTCTCAGAATAGGACATTTAGCTTCCTTGACACGATGTTATAAAATGCCTTGCTGGTTAAGGATGTCCATAGTCCATGTTTGGACAGGGGAGATTGTGCAACTGCGCCCTTACCAGTGCCACAGCAGCCCGTGCCACAGTGGCTGGTGCCAGTGAGGAGCTACGGTCCCCTTGTTCCTGCTAGAAATTTCCACCTGCAAGCAATAGGTAAAGTTAAAATACTGATGCATGAAAAGAGCCCTGAACAGAGTCTTCTCACTTTATAGATCCTGTTTAGTCCTCCTGGTTCGCCTCCACGTCACTCGTCACTGAGTGTGGGGGTGCCTGTGTGTGGGTGCCTGCATACGTAGCTGCACACCCTTGTTCTCACCTGCCCCAGGGGCTGTCCCCTCTGGTTACCAAAACTCTCACTGCCAGCTACTTTCCACCACACGATTTTCTAAGATCCTAAAAACCATTTGCAGTTTCTCACCCCTTCTCCTTTTCTCATATTCTCAAATATGTCTGTTTTTAGAAGAAAGATGCTGACTGTGGAATTGGTCAGAAGTGCAGGCATTACCATGGATTTGGTGCCAGTTATTCTCTTGCAGGGAAAAAGAGTGGTGGTACTCCAACACTTATTGCCCCAAGGCGAAGCTTACTTGATTTTCAAATTTATACTTCTTGTCATAGAATATCTCAAGTTGAAAGGGACCCATAAGGACCATCCAGTCCAACTCCATATATGTCCATGTGTCTGTATTTTGAGCTGCAGACACACCGAATCCTTTAAGAGGAAAATCATTATATAATTATTTAAAAAATAAAAATATGAACAGTTCTTTGCCAATAGAGTGTATTTTTGTCTGCCAAGTATTTCAGTGATCTTCTCACTTGAATTCTTTGGAGACAGGATGAAGAACACCTTCACGTTACAGGTCATTTTGACACACACGTAGGAAATGCTTTTCCTGCAATTCTGCTACATTAGATTACATAAAAAATAGACCATGAAATTCAAGCTCACTTGCTAACAATGCAAGCATGGCGACACACAACTTTGCAAACTCTTCACAGAGTTGTTTAGAAGTCATTTGGGTATCTCCACTACTTTGTAAGAAGGCAGGTGCAAAAAGAGCTGCTGTTGGTTGTAACAGGGCTGTCCAGCCCTGCCTGAGGAGCACCAGTTCCTGCAAAGCCTCTACCTGATTCTGCAACCCACAAACAGAATGAGTTGCTTGAGATGAATGGTGATGGTTCCTAGTTACTTTATCCATGCTTACTGAGTTTTAAAAATTGCAAATACTACCTGAGAGCATGCTTGCATTTTGTTATAGAATTCCTCCCAGGCTCTTTGTGTGGAACTTGTCATGTTCACTTGCTCCTCAAGGCAGGAACGACAGCTGTGTTTCTTTGTGGACTTAAATTAAGAAGATGTGTAAAAGTGCTTGCAAAAACATAACTAGGCATTAAATTTGGATTCTGTTTGCTAAGGAACTTTACTCTTGGGAGGGGAAAAAAAACCCAAACAGAACCTTGCTTAAGCTTCAAAGTACACACTGTACAAGGTGCATCCTGACAACCAAGAAAAATGGTCGTGTTCTTTACCTGATGAGCATTTGAGAACTTCAGTGTATGACTGGGAAATGCTTCCCATAAAGCTGACAGTTTACACAGGTTCTTATTTCAGTGGATGTAGCTCTAACAGGACTTGGATGCATGTGCCAGGTGGAGAAGATGCTGAATGAGTGAAGATGAAAAATAAGGATTAAATCTGTATTTCATGTAGTATGACTTTCTTTGCAAGTTCTTATCGGGTCTGATACCATGTTAAATCTTAAAGTTAATGTATTGATGCATAATGTACCAGACTTGATGTTTATATTTGAGATATTTGTCTTTCAGAAACTTGCTTTGTGGGTTTGTGAGATTAATTATACAGCGGCAGAGCTGTAAATAGTGGCAAGCTGGACATCTTCACAGAGGGTAATAAATGAATCTCTTT